CGGGGAGAGAAGGGCTCAGCCAGAAAACTATTCACCGAGGGGTGGGGCGGGGTGGTCTGTGGCCACATCTGCTATGAACTGCCTTCTCCAAGAGCTAGTCAGGAAGGTACTCTAACTGCCACAGCCCAGAACTGCTCCCCTCCTTCCAGCCCAGAGCTTGCTCCTCAGTTCAGGTAACTGTTGCCTTGGATTCAGCAGGGGATGGGCAACCTCTCAGCTTCAACCAAGACAGGGCTTGAGGTCCCCAGTGGTTCTGAATTGTTCTTCCTTTTGTGGAAACGCAGTTCTGCAGACACTTGTGATACTTGTCCAGCATCTCAGGCAGGACCGTCAGGCCTGCCTGTGACACGAGGAGTCTGTTCATGTTTCACGCCAGCGTCTCATGGGCAGGGAAGAGACGTGGGGTGTGGGTGGTTCTGCTGGAACGTCCATGAAGACTGGTTCCTTTTTAAACGGGGGAAGGAGTGGAGCCCAGAAGCAGGAGGACAATCTTCTGTGTTGTTACCACACGCCCTGTGGCACACGTTCTCATTAGTTAGGTGCACGGGGTGAGTGCCTTATGCTCCTGAACGGGGATGTGTTCCAGACAACATTATCAGTGATGGGACCCGGCTCACACCTCTTTCTTAGTCTGCCTTCAATTTGAATGACTGGGAACTGGAAGAGGATGGACCACAGACACTACATAGGCCCATGACCAATGTAACATGACCATTCCCTGCCTTCTGTACTCCTCTGCGGCCATCACTGGCTGTGAGAGGATGGAAACCACACATGTGGCTGCTTCTCAGACCCTTGTTCCGGGAGCAGAACTCCTGAGTGATGGCAGTGACTTTGGGCGCTGGGGATGGGGTGGCAAAACCCCGCCCGTGCTAAGTGTCTGCTGCAGGTGGCCCTGAGGTCACGTGCACGCTGGGCCAGTGTATTATGGATTTGTATCAGGGTTCTGTGGAGAGAGATGTTTCCAGCATTTTTGTTTTGTTGCGTCAGGCCACGAAAGAAAGAGGATTTATACTGAGCATCAGGGAAAGGAGGAGTAAGGAGGAGGTGGGGCCTTAATATTTTAGACACTGCCTGGTTCACAAAGGCCATTTGGCTGCCCTCAACTTCCCTTGCAGAAGGTCTCTACCTGCTAGTGAGTCTCCAAAGGAGCAGGCGTCCACCCACTTCCAGGACTTGGGGGACAGCCCGTGAGAGTCAGGTGCAAGGGGGTTCCTTACAGAGGCCCTGCGAGACAGTGCTTGCCCAGGCTGTTTCTTCTCGGCACGCAGGGGTCAGGGGCCTGGGTGAATGGGACCAAGCTCCCTACTGGAGTAATTCCCAGCTAGAGGTCAGAGCATGAAAACTAGTCCAAGACATCTGCACACGGCACAGTCGCCCCTGTCCAAATGTCCTTCACCTGTTGACACTGACACTCTATGATTCCCCGGAAAGCCCCAGTCCTGGTTGCCCATTCTCCTCCTCCACTCACCCCTTTCCTTTGTCTCAACAGCATCTCCACTGCTGGGAACGGACGTGCTTATGAGCACTGGTGCCTCTCTGACTCCATTCTCGGCACTTCCCTTTCCACCACCCGCTCCCGGCCCCGAACACTTGCCACCCTGGGAGCAGCACCTGCCACCCTCATTGACCCCATCGTTCCCTCCTGGCACCACCCTGCTGCTGCCAGCTTTCCCCACGACACCTTTGGTGGCTGCTGGTGGCCAGGTCCCCATGGCCACTGGGCCTTGCAACATCACTGTCCAACTAAGGTCAGAAGCGAGGCCAGCAGAGCCCCTCCAGATGCAGAGCTTCGTTCTTACACCAGGAACTGTCACCTGGGGTGCTCCAGGGGCCCTCAGCGGGAGTGCTACTTGCCCTGCTCCCCTATCCTTAGCACCCTCGCTGGCGACCCCAGCTGTTGGGGTAACGCAGGCTGGCATGGGAGGCTGGGCCCCCAGCCTTCCCCCTCAAGCTCCACCACCAGCTGCCCAGCGGGCCCCCAGCATTCCCCCCATCAACGCTGGGCCACGGCCACCTGGCGCTTCCAGGGAGGGGAGTCTGGCCACCTGCCAGTCTCAGCCCCCGCAGGATGACTCCTGTAACCGCGAGAGTGTCTACAAGAACTACCGACGTTGGCAGCGCTTCAAGAGCCTGGCCCGGACGCACCTTCCCCAGAGCCCTGATGCAGAAGCTCTTTCCTGCTTCCTCATGTGAGTGAGTTCTCGGGGTGGGGGGGCACATGTGCTCATCTGGAGTTTCAAGTGGAGGACCTTGGGGTGCACGTGCAGGTTAGGTTTCTAGGGATCCTAGAAGGAAGGTCTGAGGGTGATGCCCATGCTATGACATGGCA